TAGTGAATAATATTGAAAGAGGGCAGCGAAACTTTCGACCTCAAATTTTAAACACTATGATCATCATGTGATCTTTTTGAAAGGGGTAAATAAGTCACACAGGATTGGTAATTAACAACTGTTTTTTTCACAACAGTTAGTTATTAAACTTAAGTTAATTATTAATATTATACAGTTAATTTTCACTGTTTTGTTCAGTGATTTTAATGTGGAAGAAACATTCAATCTCTATACATCATTTTGTGAATAATATTGAAAGACAGCAGCAAAACTTCCGATCTCAAATTTTAAACACTATGATCATCATGTGATCTTTTTGAAAGGGGTAAATAAGGCACACAGGATTGGTAATTAACAACTGTTTTTTTCACAACAGTTAGTTATTAAACTTAAGTTAATTATTAATATTAAACAGTTAATTTTTATTGTTTTGCTCGGTGATTTTAATGTGGAAGAAACATTCAATCTCTATACATCATTTTGTGAATAATATTGAAAGACAGCAGAAGAACTTCCAACCTCAAATATTAAACACTATGATCATCATGCGATCTTTATAAAAGGGGTAAATAAGTCACACAGGATTGGTAATTAACAACTGTTTTTTCACAACAGTTAGTTATTAAACTTCATTATTAAACTTAAGTTAATTATTAATATTATACACTTAATTTTCACTGTTTTGTTCAGTGATTTTAATGTGGAAGAAACATTCAATCTCTATACATCATTTTGTGAATAATATTGAAAGACAGCAGCAAAACTTCCGACCTCAAATATTAAACACTATGATCATCATGTGATCTTTTTGAAAGGGGTAAATAAGTCACACAGGATTGGTAATTAACAACTGTTTTTTTCACAACAGTTAGTTATTAAACTTAAGTTAATTATTAATATTAAACAGTTAATTTTTACTGTTTTGCTCGGTGATTTTAATGTGGAAGAAACATTCAATCTCTATACATCATTTTGTGAATAATATTGAAAGACAGCAGAAGAACTTCCAACCTCAAATATTAAACACTATGATCATCATGCGATCTTTTTAAAAGGGGTAAATAAGTCACACAGGATTGGTAATTAACAACTGTTTTTTTCACAACAGTTAGTTATTAAACTTAAGTTAATTATTAATATTATACAGTTAATTTTCACTGTTTTGTTCAGTGATTTTAATGTGGAAGAAACATCCAATCTCTATACATCATTTTGTGAATAATATTGAAAGACAGCAGCAAAACTTCCGACCACAAATATTAAACACTATGATCATCATGTGATCTTTTTGAAAGGGGTAAATAAGTCACACATGATTGGTAATTAACAACTGTTTTTTTTCATTTAACCTATTCAGATGGAGCAACAAAAGGAAAAAGTGCCTTACCCTCTGAGTAAATATAAGTATGCATAAAACATTAATAAAACGTTTGTAGTATTTCGAAGAAAAAAAATCAATTGCAAAACTGACCCGAAACCTGCAAGATATTTTATAGAAAATACCAAACAGTAAATGTCCAGTCTAAACCCACGTAAATCAATAAGCATTACATCCTTTTCCCACTCGTCCCGCAGTGGACTGACCGTTAAGACACGGTTCCCAGCAGATCACCGAAGTCAAGCATCACTGGCTACGACCAGTGTGCGGGTGGGTGACCACTTGGATCAGCCTGTGTAGGGACCGAGGGTGTGCGGTATTGGTCCTCGTTAAACTGTTCCTACCGTAAAGTGCTCGACTTCGCGTGCAGGTCGTGGGGCTACCGAAGCGGGGGTGCTCTGCAGAGGATCAAAATTGGGATGGCATGTCTTTGGATCATCCTCAGGGATGTCTTCCGGACCGTCTCTAATAGCCTATTGTGCAGCTCTAGTGCCACGTAAATGAACAACAACCTTTTCCCACTCCGTCAAAATATAAACAAAAAAGCAAAGAGTGGTAAATCACATGCTCAATTCTCTCGAAAGAACTGAACACGCGCAGTTGTTTACATGTTAAAATACCTTAGATAATAATATAAAAAAAATATCGGAACCAAAACTGCACATTAAAGATCAACCCTCTGTGAGGCATTATTTTAAATTGTAACGGACTTCAACACTCATCTAGTACCGGTTAAAAACCGAAATAAAGTAACTGTTTAAAACTGGCATTCTAGATTGAAGTTACATCAATATGATCAGGGGCTGTTGGTGTTGTAAAGGCTCGTCTCATACAAAACTCATTGGCTGGAAAGGGCAAATCACATCACAGAATGGATTAATAAAACACTGATGTGTTAATAAATCACTAATCAAATACAAGTTTATCCTGTCGTAACAGCATAATATGATAGTATGCAGAAGAAACACCAAACCATGCTTTATTAATGACTTGTTTTATTAATACAAACTTCATTCATTACTAAACAATGAAACAATATATTTTACAAAGAAATTGGCAGCGTTTTTAAATAATATGTAATGTGAAATTCAATCGAAAGTGTTAATAAATTATGAAACATACATGGAGCAAAAAATGGAATGAAACACTAATATTTCAATTTCCAAACAAAATTCCAAGAATTTTAGACAGTTAAAAAAAAATTCATTTTTACTAAAAATAAAATAATGAGATCAAGATCTGTTTATTCATATTTAACTACCACAATTATAGAATAATAAATAATAAAGGTAATTGATTAAAAAATTAAGACACTGATACATCAAATACAATTAAGAAATAGTTAATACTGTTCTGGGCTAAGAAAATGAAACATAAATACATAAAAAAAGAAATTAAATAATAAAAATCTTCACCAAACAATACAAGAATAAAGTTGTTGTTTTTCAAAGCTAATTTATAATTCAAGAAATGAGGACCAAAAAAAGACTGATTATGAAATGTAAATTAAGAGTCTTTGGAATTCGGCAAAGTTACTGAAGAAAGTATCCTGAAAAATAAATTTGCATAGTTCTCATTTAACTATTAATCTTATAAAAAATTTTTTAATATAGTTCTATAGGAACTAAAATGTAATTTATTTCATACATGAAACTACTTAGTTCAGAAAGGAAAGATATAAAAGAAATATAAAAAAAAATCAATGTTATTTTAACTATTTTTACTCCTCATATTATTAATCTTGAAGGATTTTTTTGTTGTTTCAAAGAATTTTTTTTTTCCAGAAATTTTTACTAGCTTTTTTATGCAAAAAAATTTTTTTTTTCTAGATTCAAGAAACAGTTATACAAATTTATATCTTAAATGAGCATTTTAATACAATAACTCTAACATATTCACTTAATTTCAAAACTATGCAATTTCTATTTTCATTTATTTTTCTCTTGACAACAAGAATAATTTTCTTCCTCTCTTTCTTTATTTAAGAAAATAATCCTGAAAAAATCTGTTTCATATAATTTTTCAGCAATTTATACATAATTTACTTTTTACACAATGCTTTTTGACAGGGAAAAAAAAGGATGGTTGAACAGCCTCCTACAAAACCCTCCCTTTATATTAAAGAGAACTTTAAGCATTGATATTCAGGACCCTAACCACAGCAACTCTGTAAAATTTCAAAACTACTAGATTTTTCTTCATTTCCAGAACTATCAATTAAAATAATATTATTTTTTAGTTCTATGCACGTGAAATTAAATGCATTTAACACTTTTGTACTTAAAATGAAATGTCATTTATTAATTTCCTTTAGCTCTCTTAAACAATAAACAACTAACGATAGCAGAATTTTAAAAGGTAGAATTATAGAAGTATTACAATTTTAAAAATATAATTTTAGTGAATTTAAAATAATAATAGATAGAATAGTTTAAACTTTTATAAAAAAAAAATTTTTATGCAATAAATTTTTTTTATTTGAATATTTTATAAGTATTCTAATATCAGCAAGATTAAATTTTTTGTATTATTATGTTAAATTGAAATTCTAAATAATTGAGTTATAATTACACAGTTTTATATAATTTGATTGCTTAACATTTATTATTAAAATACTAATGGACTCTGGCTGTTACAGAGTAACTAGGCTTAAAAAATATAGAAAGATTAAAAAAAAGAAGAAGAAAGAATGATTTTAAGAAGATGAAAAAAAAAAATAGTTAATATAAATAACAACCAATGCCAACATTTATTTAAGGTTAAACAATTGCATAATTTTTTCTTAAAGTTGTTAAAACGTAGTTACCAACATTTCGACATTGGTTATTCCTGCAGTAAACCAAAGAATAGATGTTATGTATTGCTCCGGGACAAAGATAAGTGACATTTTGAAAGAATAAAGTGAAGAATGTTTCGATCGTAACAAGTTAAAAATTATATAAATTATTAAAAAAAAGAGTATGAGAAACAAAATATTTGAAGTTTACACATTATATTTGTTAATTAATATATAATTATTTAATACATAATTTGCTAATTAATATAATTTCAGTTCTTTAAAAAAAGCACTTTTAGTAAGAATAAAACAGGAAGATAAAAGTATTGCATGTTAGATGAAATTATGATATTGAATACATCAATAGGTAACACAATATCATATAAAACAGTTATGTTCTAAACCTTTCAGCAATTAATGTTTTTGTCTGGACGAATTTACTAAAAAAATAACATATATTAAGGGATGCGAAAAATTCTCTCATAGAAAAAAAATAAGCAAAAACAAAAAGAAATTTAATAGAGAAATAACATATATTGCAGGATATTAATAGGAAAACATTTTTAAAAAAAATTCACACTAGGTTTCATTATTATTGTTAAAGAATATTCTTCTTAATATCCATTCATTCATTGCATAAGAATAATAGAACATGAACTATTAATGCTTTTGACTGGATAGATTTGATTAAAAAAAATAACACAGATTAACGGATATTCATAGAAAATTATCACTAAACATAAATAAATTTAATAAAAAGGTACCTTATATTTAGAGATAACATTATAAAAACATCGGTAAATAAAAAAAAAATTCACACAAATTTACATTATTACTTTCAAGATCATTATCCATTTATTCATTGCATAGAAATTTTAAAATAGGCACTTAAAACTGCTAGTAACTCATAACTTTTTGTTTCTTTAATGTAACAAAATTTTGACCATTGATTCAAGCTAAGGCCAAGACTAAATATTAATTTTAAGGAGGGATAAATAACGATTTCCTCCTCCATGTGTGGTTATTTAGAAATTATTAGTTACTTAATTTCAAAAAAATTATGAGTCTCATAAAACATGTGACCTGAAATAAAACTTTGACATTATTATAATTAAATATATTTCTAGTTAAGTTCCATCATATGTAGGAGAAATAATAATTTTTAGGACTCAAATTATTTCAAGTCAGTTCTAAATATGAAGTACTTTGCACCTATGCCATCCATGTTCCTAAGAATGCATGAAAATTTTAAACATCAGATAAAATAAATTTCGCATACATCAATTCAGTAGCATCTGGGAGTAATTGTGGCATACTGTTTTTCGTATCGAAGAAAAATTTGACATGAGTTGCTTTACTATCTAGTCCTTGTTTATCTCATTGAAGTCTCATAACAGGTAAACTACCATCTTCATTATACTTAACACCATTTTGGAGATAATATTCCCTCTTTATAAAAGCTGACAAAAGATCAGTAAGTAAAAAAACCTAAATAAATAAAAATTAAAATAATTAAATAAATATAATCAAAGCAGTTCAATAAATAATATTTTTAATTATAACCATCATTAAAATTAGGATTTCATATAGTTATTAAAGAATTAAAAAAATTATTCAAAACTGAGTTACATAAAAAGATATAAGTTTTCAGACCTAAGGTAAAAAAATATTAGTCTTTTTTATGAAGGAAGTTATTATATAATTGCAAATCAATGAACTAACTCATTACTTAAATGTTTTTTATCATTATATTCATCAAATTAATTATAAATAAATACTGCTTAAAATACATTAATTGCTTAGAATTTCTTTTTATGCAAAAGCTTAAGATTAGAGTTATATGTACGTATATTACTTTTTATGATCTGATTTTTTTTTTAAAAAATAGTTTGTATTAACAGTGTAATATTAAAATTATGCTATCAAGTTATGAATTTATCCTGTTATACATTATAATGTAGAATCAACTAATTTTCAGTATTGCAGCAAAGAATTCAAAGAGAAAATAATACACATATAAATACCTTTTAGCAATTTATATTCACAAGAATAGAAAGATTAATTGATTTCATTGTTAAATAAAAACCTAACAATGGCTAAATATTTCAACTTAATATGGTTGCATTATATTTTAGAAAGTAAAAAGAATATTTAATTACTTGTCCTGTATTAAATGCTAATGTAATTCCAAAATAAAAATTGGCATTTGCACTTCCAGAATATATCCACAAATGCCACAGAGTTGGTCCTAAAAGAGTGCAGCTAGCCAAGACACAGCCAATAATGAACTTTTGCCTCATAACTGGAAAAAATTGGATAAGTTGCATGCACATAAAAAACAACAATAAACAAATATTAACTTCATAAAATTTTTTACAATATTTAGTTACTTTCCATACAATTGTATGAATTTAAAAAATTATAAATATATTTCTTAAATCCAAGATAACCATTTTGATGCCACATAAAGGTACACTATTATCAGCACAAATATGTAACAACGAAACTCGTTAAGATTATTTTAAACTTTACTATGTGTGATTTTAAATGCCATTTTTCATTTATTTTAATATGGTTCAGTGCTTTGGTTTCTGAGTAAAAAGGCGAACTCTATGAAATAATGTAACATCAAACTGATAGACCGATAACAGTTTTTATGAATTTTGAATACAGTAACAGAGGAGCAGTATGTGCAATTTTACATATTGCAGCAAGATGGCTACTATTGATTGAGAATCATTCTGGTAAAAACCAGTTCTATGTGTTCTTTACTTTTTATTTGCAATTTAAAAATGTTCCTTTCTACACATGGTGCGTAGCCAGACTTTTCAACAAAAAAGCACCTTTTAAGCACTCAAAAATAGTTTTAATCACTTTCCAAAAAAAAAAATCATAATTAGGATCTGTGCAGTAGTAAATATTATTTTTTTCTATCACTTAAAGCTTTCAATTTATAAACATAAAATCAATAAAATTGAAAAATTTTACGTAATCATGATAAAATAACTAGTTTCTGATAAATATTGCAGAGAAAATTGCAAAAATCATACATTTTTTGTAATTTATGACAATAATCAATACGTCAAAGAAAAAATCTCGAGAAAGAAAACTAAGCGCTTTCTACAAATCCCAAATTAAAAAAAGCACATTTAAGGGCTTTTAAAACATAAATAAAAAATAAGCACCATTAAGCACTTCTTAAAAACACTATGCACTCTGTCACATTAGCAAAATCATCTCTCAGTATATTAAATAAATACTTACAACAAAACAAATGGCTCCAAATTGGTAGAAGAGAAAAATACAAAGCCACATCACCAATACAGGGATATGATTTAAATATTGTTATAATAACTAAATAAATAAATAGTAAAAACATAGGCTCCTTCCTGAAATGAAATAAAAAAACATATATATAAAAAATGCATTAAGCCAAAACAAATTGTATATTTTATTATATAAAGGAAACACTGGATGTTGAAAACAAAAAAAGAGCAATTTTTATTAGGTCATTTTCAATATTTAACAGAATATTCACAGCATAAGTCTGTGTATGATGTTTTAGGAAAAAGAAATTAATGGTTTTAAAGTTATAGCTAAAAGTGTGGTTTTTAATTGTTGATAACTAATAAGTTCCTTGCAAATGGATTATAATTTTTTAAATCAAGTTTTTACCTAAAAACATAGTTTTATAGCTATTTAAATACATTTAAGTGGTTATGGGAATCGTACAAAAAATATTTGTACCTAAGCATTAAATGTTTATTTTGTCACAAAACCTTTTTTCGATTAAAAAGCTTCAATTATCTTAGTTCAATTAATAAAATATAAAATTAAGGTATTGAGTTAAAGAAATGCCTTTAAAATTAAACAAGACACAACGAAGAGTACATGCATTTTTTAAAACAATGAAAAAAAATTGATGCAAAAGGAACTTTCTGAAGTTGTGAGAACATCAAAAAATTTCATTATTAGAAAAAGCAACTTCGTCAACGAAAACTACATATTGATGCATGAACCTTTTTTATAAATTCATAATATTATAACTCGATAAAGAAATCCCCAGATTTTAACGCGTTTTGATGTATATTACTTATTAAAATGTTAATTTTTTTTTAATATGCTAAAAAACAAATAATTGATTTTTCTCATTCTCAACATCCAGTGTCCCCTTAAATTATTCAAAATGAACAGCTTAAAACTATCTGAATTCTACAGTTTAATACTATAAATATCTTTATTTTTTTCGTTTTGTAAAATATTATCAATGAATCCCAAAGTTAAAAATTTATAAATATTTTTAATAACAGCACTAGTTTAATGAAACAAATACACATTTCAAAATCAAATGCCTAACAACACAGTTATAACTACATTGAAATATGCTTAAAAAAATAAAGATTTATAATAAACATTGATGATAGAAATATTTAAGATGCAACATGCATTTGTACCTTAAGCGAATGGCTAGTGGTGTGACATATATGAACACATTCAGTTGAAAAGTCCACAAGAAAAATATTCTAAAATGTTCAAACATTTCTGTGAAAAAATACCAAAATAAACCAATGTTAGGAGTTAAATCTGGAGCAGATAATCTGAAAAAGAAAATAAATAAAAAATTACTAAGTTTTGAATTGAAGCAAATATTTATTAAAATATTATTTTAATAATATATCATATTATTGTGTGCCTTTAACATTCGTGGAATAGATCCAGCCAGTCTTTTTTGTTACATTAATTCATAATGATTATTTTATTAACATTATAAAATCAATTAATAGGTACTCTTGATACTTATTCCCCAAATAAAAAAACTTTTGGTGTGACACACAAATCACAAATAAAATTTGGAACAGTTTCTTTTTTTCAAAAAAAAAAATCTACCTGAAAATTAAACTTCTTTAAGTTTTTAAAGCAAAATATCACCTAAAAAGAAACAATGTTAGAAAATTATTATGTCTTCTTTAATTTGAAAGAGGATGTTAAAAACCAGAGGAAATTTTCAGAAAAAAAGATTTTATGACAAACATAAATTTCGAACAGCCTTTTTCCCCCCGAACAAAAAGTCAACCCCAAAATTAAACTTTTTTAAGTTTTTATTACCAAATATCAGCCAAAAGGTAAAAAATTAAAAGGTTTTCATGAATTTAAATGAGCAGTGCAAAAATTCTGAAGGAATTTTAGGAAAAACAGATTTTATTTGAAATATTAAATTAATAGGAAATATAAAAGAAAAGGAAATATAAAAGCTTATGTATGGGAAATATTAATTTGGGACAGACCATTTTTTCAGAAAAAAAAGTCAACCTGAAAGTTAAATTTTTTAATTTTTAGTTTCATAACACAGTTGAAAGGAACCTTAGAAAACTATTATGTCTTCATCAATTGTATGAGGGTGTTAAAATTCTGACAAAATTTTCAGAAAAAGAGATTTTATGGGAAATATTAAATAAAAAGAATTATCTAATATTCAATAAAACAGAAATTGAGCACAGTAATTAGTTCTGGATGGGAAAACAGTTTTTTTTTCCAGACAGGGGAAGTGTTATAAGATGAAAAACATGGAAAGTTTCTAAATCCCTTAATTGCAAATGATGGAAAGTAGAGATTCTACTAGCATTTAAAAAAGATGCAGTTTTTATTCGTAAACGGGCACTTTTAGATTTCAAAACAAGCAACTTAACAACAATTCAGATAAATGATACTGTTACCACACATGGAAAAATAGAAGACAAAAACTCATGACAAAATTAAAGAACATTCTCTTCAACACTTACATAAATCCATAAGTGGATGACAAAAAGCTCCATGATCCAGTCATGTCATGAAATGATTTTAATAATGTTATACTGAATGCAAAGGTAAGGATGATTATAGTAAGAATCTTAAATGTATCATACATTTTGCTGTGTCCACAACTACTCTAAAAAAGAAAAAATATATAAGCTTCAGTCCTCATATACAAACAGAATTTAATTTGAATATAAATATTCTTCAAAATTCCAATTGTATAGCACTAACAATAAAAATGTTTTCATTTCTGTTCAATGAAACCCGAAGAAAAATAGATAAACAATCCGAATATTTAATGAAAACTAAAATATAACCAATATCTTTATAGAAAGATAAATAAAGTTATATCATTCAATAATGTTTAGAATTACAGAAAACAATAAATATCTACAATAATTTTATTATTCAATATTCAATATATATAATATATATATATATGTGTATATATATATATAAATTCGATATATATATGTATATTATATGCAGAGAAATCTCCTGTTATGGACACTCCTGTGAAACGGACATATTGTTCACTCGTGAATCTTCTATGATTTCTTCTTCTGTGATATTATTTTTCCCTTATTGTTATTTTGTTGCGTTCCTTGAAATATTTGGCAGCAGATTTAATTCATGATAATTTTTTGTGGAAGGGTTTTAAACCCTCAAACCCCTTATGGTTTATTAGAAATGGCAGCCAACTTCTTAAATTCAAATGTGTATACAGTTGCTTAGGAGATTTAACTGATTTATTTCAGCATTTATTAATGTAATAAAAGACTATTTTTAACTAATAACCACACACATTACATTGCAAAATAGTTTGGATATTGCTTTGGGCTGAAGACTAATCTTCTTTACAAAAAAGAATAATTAGAGGAATTCTTAATATTTTGCATGCATCAGTTTTTAAGAATAGATGTACATAAATGATTAAAATAATAGATTTAAAGTTTTCTTTCTTGGCAAAATGAAATAAATGTCTTTGAAAACAATTTTACGATTAGGCCTAATTCTGGTAATAAACGTAATAAACAAGTAAATTTATGAACAAAAAAAAATTTTTTTTTTTTACAATCTATTTTACATCATAATACATGACTTCAGAAATTATTTATTTGTAATAAACATTAATAACCAAAAAGTGCCAAATCAAAAAATAGTTTAAAATATTATAAAAAAAGAGTAAGATACAACTTACTTGGTAAGTATACATAACCAATGGAACAAGTAGAAACATATGATAAAATGTGTGACAGGACAGGATTGCAAGGAATACTGGTGCAAGTAACCAATAACCTTAAAAAAATAATAAAAATTGAAATTTCAGAAATAAAAATTATAAACAACTGATGGTGGAAGATAAGCTGGCAAAGGGAAAAGATAAACTCGAAAACTAATACAAAACCTTGAACTCCTAAAACTATGAAATTAGTAAAATCCATAAAGAACTTTCACTATGAGTCAAAGAATTTGAGTTTGTGTAGGACACAACATAATACTACATTATACAGTGCTATGAGCAATATTATGAGGTGAATTTCCTTTTAATAACTATCTTATAAGAAATGACTGAACATAAAAACCACTTAATATTATTTTTTTGCAATATTTTGATAAAAAATTTAAATATTTACTTTATTATCATTCAAGCTACAATAATAAATCAATAACACACATTTCATGCAAAAAAACTAAGTAGGCAATGCACTAATATAATTTCTAATAAGTATTTGGCTGTTTTTGTTATAAGGGGAAAGATAAATTAATATTATAATAGGCCACCAGGTATTAAAGAAATAATCCCAAGAAACTGAAGCAGTAAGATATTTGATTAAAAAAAACTTTATTCGCTTCAAAAGTATACGCATTGGATATCTGTAAAATTTTGACATATTCTATATTATTTTATACATTCAATTCTATTATATATTTTTTTTCATGTCTTCCCATTCATCCCTGACAAGTCTTGAAAATGGGTGTCTATTTTTGGGGGCTCAAAACACGTCGACTGTTACTTCCAATCAGTATATTTTTTTAACAAATAATTATATATATAACAAATAAATAATATTTTTAACAAATAATCAAGTAATGATCATCAAATAGTTTCATTTCCTAGGTTTTGTTTATACAATTTTTGTACTTAGTTTATTTAAAAATAATTATTATACCAAAATATTATATCCCTTTTTACAAAATTACAATAAAAATTCTTTAGACAAAAAATATCAAGAATATTCGTTCAATTCATATTTTAATATGAATTGAATCACACATAAATATATTAATTTGAGTGAAATTTAGATTTGATTTTAAAATGCTGAATTAAGTAATATAGACGTCTAAATTTTCTTTTTTATTCAAAACTTTAAACTATCCATATAAAATTTTCAAAACAAACATTTTGTTATAAGAATTCAGATAAGAAAAAAAAAATTTAAAACATATAAACTATTAAGTTTTTAACTTGTAGTTCTTTAAAAAAAAACTTATTTGATTTGAATGGTTTGGATTGACATGGCATGAGACAAAGTTTTTTGTCATTCCCTTATACATAAATTGGGAAAACAATATCTATAAAAAATAAATTAAAAAAACTAACCTGATACAGTAACAAGCAGAAATGAAGACAAAATTAAATTTTGAAATGTTACAGTTGATTTCCCCCCACAAGACAGCACAGCATATGGACATAACAAATACCTGCAATAAATTTAAAAATATATGTTAAAATTATAATAACTGGTTTTTCAAAAAAGAAAAACAAAAATTAAAATTGTCACCTATTTGACATAAAATATACTATTTAAAAGCTGAAATTCGCATTCTATAAATAAACATGAAATTCACATTGAAGCACATTTTTAATGCAGGTCTGAATTAAAATTTTTTCCTTAATGATTAAATATAATGTGCCAAAAAAACGGACAACACAGAATAACTTTTGATCGAATTATCGGATTTTTTTTCAATGATGGAATGGAAATTAACTTAACAACTTATATTTTTATAACATTTCATTTAAAGAAAAACATATTATTTTCAATTTAATGCTGTGTATAAAAAAGAAATAATATATTTTTAAGGGAAGATTTTTATTAGAAGCTTATGATTGTCAAGTTCAGTGGATGAGATTATAAAAATAACTAATTTCTAATGCTAATAATTATTAAAGCATGAGTAAAAAAGAACTATTATACTTACAAAACTGAAACATAAAAAGGCACCCAGTTAAGATCTTCAGCTTTTAAAAGCACAGGATTTGCATTCTCAGGAAATTTGGAATCACTTTCTTGTTTATCCTAGATGTGAAAACATACTTGTTGCCATGAAGCAGAAATGCAGAAAAAATAATGAAGATTGGACAAACTTGATGCATATTAAATAATTGAAATTGCATTAATTGTGTCAGCAATTATGATAATTATTATAAATATCTAATCTTAACTGCGAATAGAAATTTCATTTAAGCTGCATTTATGAGGAAATACTTAAAATAACTACATTGCTGTTTTAAATTTACATTGAGAAGAAAAGTATCAGTTCTATTTACCAAAAAATGATTGTTAATTAATTGAAAATGTAAATTTGAATTTACTATATAACTATAGTCTAGAGATTAATAGGGTAGTATTTTTGTTGAATTTTAATTTTTAAGCTAATAAAACTTTGAATTTCTATAAACAATAGTTTTCTATTATCTTCTGACAATCCTGCGAATAAAAAATCTAACTTTTATTTGTATACACCCCCCCCCCAAAAAAAAAAACACGGAGAAACACTTCATACAGAGAAATAGGAAAGGATTACTTTAACCCAAAAGCGAATTTGTGAAAATGGCAAAAGGTTAAGGTGTTTTGTCTACGTAAAGGAAAAAAATACTATATATATATATATATATATATATCATTTACAACTAATTAAAATTTCAACTGGAGAATAGACTGCTGTCAAGAAAGAAATTTACTTCAGACAAGAATATTTATTTTTAGACAAGATATATTTAAATATTATAATTCACATCAAATACTTACAAGCTTTTTAAGATATATCTTCGCAGTTAAAGATAAAAGAACTGCAGTTATGACATCACAGGCCTATAATTACAAAGATAAAAACATTAAGATCTCTCATCTGGTTTTAATAAATATTCATAACATTTACTTTGAAATGTAAAAAATTACCAAAAAAATAGAAATAAGAAAATGTATTTTTTAATAAATTTTTAAACATTAGTGAAAAAATTAGTTAAACAATTAGTGAAAAATCATGTAGTTCTGCGTGAAAAAACATATAAGTATAACCTACAAGTATTAATAAAAAGTTGAAAATTTTTCTTTGTTTTTATAATAATAAATGTGTAGATTTGTGTAGATCTATTGTGTAGATTTTTGAAAAATAGTGCCTCTTACATTGATTCCAGATGCTCTGATTACTTTTTCAAGTATGATATTAAATAGAAGGCTCCAACCCAATACAACATGCTTATTTTTATATTCAAAATATATTGTTAAAATATCTATGCATTATCTAAATTATAATTCCTAAAAAGATTATTGTTACTTACAGCAAATATGACAGGAATCCATTCTTGATAATGAGTTAAGAGGTAGTTGTATGCTACAAGACCTAATGGACTCTGCAAAGTAAATAATACAGTTAATATAAAATAATGAAGTAATTCTGAATAAAAAAAATGTATTTTGAGTTAATGTATGGGAGATAAATTTAATATGGTGACTTGTCTTTCCTTCCATCTAGTCATCATCTTTGTCTTAAAACATTTCTGTACATGCACAAATATTGTGATAGTGTTTAAAGCTACCCTTAAATATTAACATTATTCTATTATAGCATCTACTCTATTATTTAAATATTAACATTATATTAGCTTTAACATTATTTTTCACTACACTAACACTATTTTGTTCTACAAGTAGTTAATATTCCTTGTATTATCGATATAAACAATAAAATTAATATATATATTGAAATTGCAACAATACATTTTTAATTTTAGTAACATTAAATTTCAAGTTAATAATTTTTAGTAACAGTAGTATTAATTTTTTTTAATTTTTAGTAATTACATTTTTAGTACATTTAATATAATGACATTTTATTGACACACAAGTAAGAATGAGGTGAGTAATAATAGGTAAATGTTGTCTTTTTCCCCCCCATCTTAAAGCAATGAAATACAGTATTAATCCTTCTGCATTGAGTCATTGGGCAAAAATGTACTGAAACTTTCCTGACACACACTATTTTTCTACTCATGAACATGCAAAAAACTGGTTTCATGGTGTAGGAAAGCTTGCAGCTAAAAGTTGAGACTAACACTCCAATGGTTAAAAAGTGCAAAATAAAATTGTTTCTTTAAATTTAAACAGACGGTCAATTGCAAGCTTGGCACCTCTTTTTGCAGAAAATAGAATATTTTCTTTACTTCTTAAATTACTAGAGTTATAAAATTTAGTACAGTTGTGCATATCTGAACAATACACATTTAAAACTATTTTCATATCTTAAAAATAAAGAGAAATTTTTAAAGTTTTAAACAAGATTTAATCAATTTTATAAAATGTAAAATATAATAATTTAAAAAAAAAAATTCTAATGTATACCTCTCTATTCAGTAATTATGAAAGTGGAAATTATAATCCTTTCATCAAATAAACTCTCACAATTTTAAGACCTATTGAGAAATATAAGAATTCTCTCAGATGTTGATTTCCTTTTTGGATAAATGTCAAGCATTTGTATATGGTAAACATCAGGCGTAAATCTGAAGTATAAACAATAAGTAAAAGCTGCAATAGAAAGTTACACTTTGTTTCTGTAAAGGATATATTCATATATGAGAACTATTATCTTCAAATAATTATAGTTACAATACCAAAAAATGCTATGCAAGCGCTATTATTAATCGAAACATTTCAAAAATATTCTTCAACTGTAAAGTTTTTACCACTTTACACTAAGTTATTGGATGGAAAAGGCTTTTCTAAGTTGAAAATAGTCTTTTCCTTTCTAATTCATAACTAAATCTATAAGAATCATCAAATATAAAAATAGAAAAAACATTTAACAACTTCAAATTATGAAATAAAATAAAAAATATTGTTATTTTGAAATCAACTGCTAACTGTCAAATTGATTTTGTATTTTTAAAATTTCAAAAACTTTAATGTCATTAAAATAATATGTAATAAAAACTTGGCAATTAAATTGGTTGATAGTTAAATACATTATTTAGTTCATAACATCTTTTCCTAGATAACACAGATAAATAAATATTTACCTCATGAAAAATATCGCTATCATATGGATCAACACCTTGCTTCCACAAATGCACACCTTCAATAGCTGAAAACATACAATATTTAAGTGTTTATTTTAAAAATGCTTTTTCCGCAAATAATTAGCTTTTAAATTGTGGTAAAGTATATACAATATTCAATAAAAATATAAAATAATTGATGCCATAGAAGTTTATTTAAAAATAAGCATTGAATATAAAAGTTAAAATTAAGTTTTATATAGGTTACTTTAGCCACTGTACAAATGTATTCAGCAAACGTTTTAAAGTTTATATCTATTGCTAAGGTCCTCTTTTATGAGTCTAATATAGAAAATTAAAGGCAAACATATTACATAACAAAACATGAGAAATAATAATACCTTTTTTTTCTATCGATATTACTTAAAAGAAAAATAGTAAGAAAACTATTTTAGAATTTTTTTGAACAACTCAGTAGAACTTTTTGAACGACTTTTTTTCCGACTCAGTGATCCAAATTACTAGATTCGAAATGAGATCCGAATCATATGATTTGAATCATTGATTTAAATCTCTCGATTCAAATAATGATCTAAATCACATGACTGGAATCAGAGATCTGAATTACTTTATAAGAATCATTTATTAATTATTAAGGCAAATAGCATGATTCAAATCACTGACCTGATTTATTTGGCCTGAAGGATAATCTCAATCACGATTTGAATGAGTTTTCCAAATGGCATGATTCAAATCACTAATCTGAATAACTTGATTCCAAAAGTGATCCAAATCACTTCCTAAGAATCTTTAATCCGAATCACCGCTCTAAAATCACTTGATTCGAAAAGCAATCTGAATCACTTTATTCTAACAATGATCCGAATTAGATTATTTGAATCAGTGATTGGAACCACTTGATTCGAATCATTGATCCAAATCATTTGATTCAAATCAGTGATCCAAATCATTTGATTAACACCACTGATCTTAATCATTTGGTTTGAATGATTGTTCTGAATCCCTTGACTTAAATCACTTATCAAAATCACATGATTCAAATTTGATCTTCTCACAGTGTTTTTTTAGCGCAAACCGAATGTTTCACTGTAATATGTAACATTTTTGTTTAAAAAAATACTAACTACATAGTCACCAAACTATTACAGATTTGCTAAGAGTAGAAACCGAAATATTTTTGAATATAAAATATGATATTAGAACAATCAAAGGCAAAAGTATTGCATAAGAACAAAAAATGTTTAGTATACGAACAATTAAAGACAAAAAGTACGAATAATCCTTTTAAAAAAAAAACCAGCACTTTCAGTAAAAAGAAAAGCAAATCAATTGAAACAGGAAACTACAAAATATCTACCATCATCTAAATTACTGCAGAAATTACATCTTGCTGATCAGCCCCCTACTTGGAATTTATCATTCTTGAGAGTTGGGAGGCTCGAAAAAGAGGAACATTTGTTGTTTACGATAAAAAGAGTGACAATAATTTTTATACTAAAAAGTTGGAAAACCACCCCTTTTTCTGAGAAGAAAAAAGATCCCCCCTTTTGTTTTCTAAATGATTCACAGCAACTTTAGCTCTTGAACAACACCCATGCATTCTAGAATTCATTTTACTTTTTTAATATTGTTTTTTTACAAAATAGGTAGTGGTTTTTGACTACTACCAAAGTGTAACTCCGTAGCCTAGTAATTTTGAGCCCAACACAAAACAAGCTCCTGGATCAAACTAGGTTTCATGGAGAACTTTTTGATGAAACTAATCCACATTTGCGTTACATGGAGTAGAAAAAAACAAAAACCTCTCGTGGTTAGCCCGGCAGTAAGGGAATTCTATTCCAAAATCTATCTTTCACTGTGGATATTTTATGTCAGCACTGTGGTCAGTGCTTGTTAAGCTATTATTGGTGCTAGGGATGCTTAACTAATTGTGATTATAGGAAATTAGTATACTTATACAGGTACTGAAGCAAAAAGTCTTTTTAAACAGCCCACCAAAAAAGCATATGAATCTAAGGTTTCACAGGATGCATATAAAAAATGTTCCACTATTCATAAAAAGTTAGACTAAATATGTTAGCAATAAAAAAGTCATTCGGAAAAAATTACAAAAGCAATCCAGGGTTGGTGAACACATCGAGCAGGGTCTAATCTTAACTCTTTTACACTATATTCATATCAAAATTAAAAAGATAATTTTAAATCCTCCCTTTGACAGAAAGGCAAATACGAGGAATAATTAGAATAGCTTTTATGATATATTGAAGCATATATATAAAGCAGAAAAAATTAAAAAAAAAAAAAAAAAACATTTTATAATCAATTTTATATTAGATAAATCATTTTTATCAATTTCATTACCAAACTACTCACTGGTTCGAATGATCAATATACGTAATAATAGAATAAATTTTAAGATGTCTCCACACTTGCTCCATAATATGGGGTTTAAAGCAACTTTACCCAAAGGCAACTTTAAAAAAAAAAAAAAGATTGCTAAAAAACTATATATCTAAATTAGCTTAAGCATAATTTAAAATGAAGACAACCATAAAAATTTTGAATAAAACTATTCTGGATATTTTCAAAATAATGATTAGAAAGCTTTAGCAATTTAATGAAAACCGTCCACACTAGCCTCCTTCCCGTTATTTGTAAAACTATGAGAATTCTTGTATTAAGAACATATATTGATAAATAAAAACTATGATTTAATAATTGCGTATACTTCAAAAATTTGACCGGCATATTTTACCTTTCCTCCAAGCTGTTACAGGAGTCGAAATTTCGACGCGTTTACCCAGATTTTCAGTCACTGCAGGGTATTTTAAAATAAGGAAACGAATGATAAAGCCAATGGAATAGACGAAAATTTTTTTAAAAATTGTTGGTCCAGACATGGCTTATTGTTTATTTAATGAAGGATAGGATCAGTATAAAAACATGAGTTTCAACATAGAAAAGAGATGGAGGAACTTTACTTATCTAGAAATAAAGATTTCGAATAAAATTAAGTTAACTAGTAAAATGGTATTGTCCCAAGAATTGTACTATTCGATCTCTAATCTTTTCTCATAATTCCAAGCTTCTTTAATCGTTGTAATTCATAATTTTAAGATTCAGAATAGAATAGTTATGAAAACATCGAAACTTCATTCTGCTAATCAAAACAATGCGCGGTGCGTAAACTATTGCCAGCTTGATTTTTAATATAAACATTTTAAATGAAATGTGTTTGACTTTATTAAAAGAATTTAAAACAAAACGAATTAAGTATTATGCATAAATATTTCAAATACAGAGTATTTATAATTTAAAATTTTTAACACCCTAACGGACATTGTTTAGCAGCCGTGACCAATAACAAAATAGATGAATCTTATTGGTTGATTTTGGCATCGTTATCACTTAATAACTGCTTATGTTTACAAGATTTGGCATAATAGCCTCTTTTGGCATCTTTGATCACGCATGTGCATTTTATGCAGCTGGTATGCGTGGACACATTCTTAATCCACATGTTCATTTCATTCAGCTAATTGTATTTAACAAATTAGAGGAATGTGCCTACAATTAATATACACATAAGGCTCCACATCAATATCATTATTCCTCTCTTTCTTTCCAATACAATTTATGAAAGTAAAATGATTTTTTTAACAATGCTTTATTTAATTTTAATATTATTTTAAAAATGTACTGTAAATATCTATTATATCGTTCTTTTTATTCTTTTTTTTTCCCTCCTTGATTTCAATTTCCAGAATTATTTTGTTTACTCGTAATTTTTTTTAAGTATCCTTAAAATAAATATAGGCCATTTAATAAGTAGGAAAAACGTTAAAAATTAAATTTTGAGGCCCATTTGTTATTTAAACTCCCATAGCGTGGGAGTTAAATTAGTAACATTGTTATAAAGAAAGAATACTACAAAAAATGAGCAATAGAGTATAATTAATAACATAAATATATGCCATTTTCATTTTTTTTTTAAATCTAAATATTTTTGGCTTCATTCCTATAGATTTGTAGGGTTAGATTAGTAGAATCGCGGGTGCTAAGACAGTTTTTACTGGGACAATAATGTGAACAACTATTATTTGTAAGTCTAAAATGGCAACGCCAAACAGCAGGAACCAAACTAAACAACTGCAGTATATACTTTCGGTGTTTCAAACAAATGATGTTGATATTTTATGTAATATCATATCCACAAGCTGATTTATTTCATGTTGACTTAAAAAGTTTTTTTCTTCCCCCTGTGATATAGCTGTTGACTTGAAACTACAACTTAAAAAAATCTAATTAATTTTTATTACAGTGACTTGCGTCACCTTTAATTTAAATGTATTGAACAATTATGCATCCTAATAATAATAGTTCTAATATTCCTGCTTTTCTTGTAAAGCTATGGAAAATAGTAGGCGACTCATCATCAGATGATTTAATTTCCTGGAATCAAGTAAGAAGTTTGTTTTCACACCATATATGGAGATGTCAAACGCTGTATAGAATTTTTATTAAGTTTATTGTTGTTTTTGTTATGCTTATCAGTTATATGAATTAATGCACACACTCTATATTTGTTTTGGGGATTTATTTTGATATGTTCTAACTTCTTATTTTTCCAATAATTGGATTCATTTTTATACTAAATTAATGACTCTGAACAAAAAAATACATTTTTATTATTGTAGTCATATACTGGAAGTATTTTAATTAAGTTTGTTGTAAGTTGCGATGGATTGAATCTCTAAACTGAGATCAATATGAATAGCGTAATGTAAAGGAAGAATATTATAAACTAGGGCACAGGTTGTTGCCTGTATATTTACTTTAAAAAGTTTGTCTGTTCTTAAAAACCACTAGTTAAACTGATGCAAATTGTTATTTAATTTGCAGTTTTTAAGTTGGGCAAAACTTCTTTAAGGGCAAAAAAATCTATTTTATTTTTGTCACTTTTGTTTTCAAAAGTTGATCAACTATTTGAAATTACGAAAATGATGATTATATGATGCTTAAAAGTGGTATCAAATTTGAAAAAATAGTTCTTTTCTCACTCTAAAATTTTTTAATATTTGTACCTCATATTTTTTTTATAACACTCAGTAAATTTAGATACCAAATCTTTAGAATGTTTTGTTCTAAATTAAAAGCTTATATCTAAGAATATTTGAGGTGTTTTCTAAATTGAGTTTTTTCAGTTTTTATCGGTTTATTTTTTCGTAAAGAATGTAAGAACTTTGTTGAATGTAAATCCGTTAAAATTTTGTTCCTGGTGTTTTTTCGTGTTGAGTTGAATTTCAATATTGAGAAATAAGAATTCATCTGTATTTTGTTGACAATAAGAAAACATTTTCTTGTTGATCTAATTGTAGTGGTTGTTACACCACAGGTTGTTCTATTAGATTTCTAATGATTTTTACATGCTTTATTGAATTATAAATCATTTAGCTCTATATTGATTATTTTTACTAATTTCTTGCCTATAGGGTGACCTGGGGTAATTCCTGATCAAAAAACGCAAACATCTATTTTGTGAAAAAACTATTCAAAATAGAATTTTAATATTTACTGGAAGTTTGACACTATATGAGATGCGTCCTATGAGAAACGAAAGTTAATTG